TGTTGAAAGACATGTTCATCACACTGTTGGAGTTATGGTTTGGGGTGCTATAGCTTATGGTTCCAGGTCACCTTTGATCTTCATCAGAGGTAACATGAACGCGCAGCGTTATATCCACGAAGTTCTAGAACCCCATGTTTTACCCTATCTTGACACCCTGGCAGATCCAACTTTCCAACAAGATAATGCCCGACCACATGTTGCAAGAGTCACAATAGACTTCTTTCAACATAATGATGTCACATTGTTACCATGGCCACCAAGATCTCCCGACTTATCCCCAATTGAGCACGTGTGGGATATGATGGGTAGGAGATTGCTCAATTTGCAACGTCCTCCTCAGACTCTAGAAGCACTTCGAGAGGAGTTGGTGGTTGCCTGGAATGAGATACCACAGGAGGACATTGACCACCTGATCAGAAGCATGCCAAGGCGCGTTGGAGAATGCGTAGCACATCAGGGTGCATCCACACATTATTAAAGGTCAAAGGGCTTTAAAGCAGTGCAATCATTTTGAAATTTTTATCATTTACTTATTATGCTTCATTAAGTACTTATACAAAATTTTATTAAAATAAAACCATTTAAACTGGGTGTTCAGATTTATATGTCACTTAGTATATTTAGCAACAGGTATCTGAAAAGGGATTGGTCCAAAGAAATATTGACATTTACAGATAAAACACACCTTAGATATAAGAACCGTGGTGAAGGGGTATGGTTTTTGCGCCTTAAAACAAAAACTAGAACATTATTTAAATGGTGTCTGAATTTTCTTTTACAGTGAAAAACTTCCACATATGACTTTTCACACGTACATTAACCTTTCAGCAGGGCGTCGCAGGTTTTGAAAATTTTTAAGTTATATTTGAAAGAACCTGTTTTGCTGAATTAAATATCTTAATCTCTACAAGGTGTTCCAATATTCCATGGACATGGAAGTACCTTTTATTTTTAGACTCACAATGAGTCGATTGGACAGGATTTACATCTATGCAAAAGTGCTTCCTTTGCCCGTCAGAAGGCGTCACATTTTTTCAGATAGTTTTGGAACCGATAGTCTTTTTTTAAGGAATTTGGAAAACATATGTTTTGATAGATGTTATAACAAACAACAAATTAACAATAAAAAATAAACACAAACATTACTTATTAATTTAAACTTTATGAATCTTGTTATCAAAAATAATCACACTGACATAGCATCTGACATTTCCATCAACTGAAGCGTACTAGATTTTAACACTTCATGTAACAAGAAAATTTGTTAGAACCCAGGCCCGAAAAATATGTTTTTCTTGAAAACTATGCGAGATGGTCTGTTTTCATAGGAGACAAAAATAAAGTAAACTAGAGTCATTAGAAGAGTCGCGAAAAAGTTTGCTTTTGAGTTTTTTATAAAAGTCAAATATTAAGACGTGTAGCAAAGTTCCAAATGTCATTCAAATTACACTATCCATTCCAAAAATATCTGAAAAAATGTAACGGCTGATTTTTTAAGAGGTATAGGATTTGATTTAAAAAAAACACAAAAAATTTGAAAAAACGATTAAATCTTTATTTGAGTTGATAGAACGGTCGATATAATTTAATGTTTAAAAATTATTTCATGTAAATGTTGGTCGCGGCTCCGCTTTAGATGGCCCATGCGCAAGGTCCAATTTTGGCACACTCTCTCCAACATATCGGCCGGTATCTCACGAATAAATGCTTCAATATTGGCTTCCAGTACGTCAATCGTTGCTGGTTTATCCCTGTAGACATTAGCCTTAACATGGCCCCACAAGAAATAGTGCAACGGCGTTAAATCACATGATCTAGGCGGCCAATTGACGGGCCCAAACGTGAGATAAACTGTTCACCGAACTCGCCATTGTTTCGTGTGCGGTGTAGCATGTGGCACCGTCTTGTTGAAACCACATGTCAGCCAAGTCCAGCTCTTCCATTTTGGGCAAAAAAAAGTTTGTTATCATCGCACGGTAGCGCTCGCCATTCACAGTCACGTTCCGGCCATTGTCGTCTTTGAAGAAGTACGGCCCGATGATGCCACCGGCCCATAATCCACACCGAACAGTGACTTTTTCGGGATGCATTGGTAGCCTTTGCAATGCTTCTGGCTGGTCTTCACTCCAGATGAGGCAATTTTGCTTGTTAACGTACACATTCAACCAGAAATGAGCTTCGTCGCTGAACACAATTTTTCCATAAAAATGTGGATCTTCCTCCAACTTTGCCAGCGCCCATTCACCAAATTGGAAACGTTGTGGGAGGTCGTGTGGCTTCAATTCTTGCACCAGCTGTATCTTATAAGGTTTTACACCCAAATCCTGTCGCAAAATTGCTGCGAACGGCGGCGCATCGACATTTCACGGTCATCACTAACACTGGCGGATACAGCCGCAATATTTTCTTCAGTCCTCACTCTACGCCTGCGCGTTGGTGGTTTAATGTCCAATAATGTAAACTGGGTTCGAAATTTAGTCACAAGCTTCCGAATAGCTCCCTCAGTAGGCCGACCAAATTGCGCATAAATTGGAAGCAGTGCTCGATGCACTCTGTTAACCGAGCATGAATTTTGATAGTAAAATTCAATAATTTGCAAGCGTTGTTCGTTCGTAAGTCGATGGTTAAATTATAGACCAAACTGAACAAGTTTGACAATGACACAAGACACGATGCACGCGTCATCTGTCAAAAACAGTGTTGCCAAAAAGATACTAGCAAAAAAATCACCCATTATTTTTAAAAGAAAACTTGACGCCCTCTGATGGACAAACGAAGCACTGCAATTGACTTGTTTTTAAGCCTAAAAACATGTACTGTTATGTCCACGTCATAAGAAAATTAAATTCTCTAAGTCACTTCAAGAAAAAATTGATCAATTGAATAACCTAGCATGGCTGCGTAAAGAGATTCAAGATACTAATTTGGAAACAAAATTTAAATCTTTAAAGAAAGAGGTTGATAAGACTATTCGTGATGAAAGGATTAGTTACTATCACTCTATAATCAGCAAATCTTCAAACAAACAGAAAACTACTTGGAATATTGTCAATTCAATAAAAGGTAAACAAAAGAATGCAGTTATTACAGAATTAGTCTGCGATAACGTAATTATAACCAACGCTACTGATATCGCCAACTTTTTTGGAAAATATGTATCCACTGTGATTGGCAAGAAAATGGCCAAAAATTTTACCGTTTTGTTGGATTCCTGCACTACTGGTGAAACAGCCAAACAATCAATGTTTTTCACCCATGTCACTACTGATGATGTTATATTTGTGATAAGTAATATGCCAGACAAGAAATCTACAGGGCCTGATGAAATTCCAATCTATTTAGTAAAACAGAACATGGATATCTTTGCCCCAGTATTAGCAGACATCATTAATGAATCGGTTGCTGCTGGTAAATTTCCAACATCTCTTAAACTGGCATCGTTAATTATGATATTTAAAAAAGGTGAAAATTGTGATGTTGAAAACTATAGGCCAATCGCGCTATTAAGTATTTTCTCGAAAATCATTGATAAAGTGGTTGCAATGAAAGTTGAAAATTACTTTATTAAATTTGCTATTATCACATATGCTCAACATGGTTTCAGGGCAGGCTACTCAACTGAAACAAGCATTATCGAGTATGTTCAGTATGTTTGTGATAAACTTGATTTAGGTAATTACATAGTGAGTATCCAATTTGACAAGTCAAATCAAAGTCAGGCCTTTGATTGTGTAAGTTCGTCATTTGTGGCCGATAAACTTCATCATGTTGGCATTCGCGGATGTTTGAATCAATGGCTAGTTAGCTTTTTAAATAATAGAAAATTTTGTTACTGTCGCTGATAAAAAATCTGATGAATTCAATTTAGATTGGGGCACACCTCCTTGGACCACTTATTTTCTCGATTTTCATAAATGATTTGCCTGCGCACTTATCCTACGGAAAATTACTTTTGTATGCAGACGACACAAATATCATTTTAGCTGACTCATCGCAAGATCGTCTTCAAGAAAAAATTAATGATTCGGTTAATGAGTTCAGTCAATGGTGCTTCAAAAACAGACTAATAATAAATACAAAAAAAACCGTTTTAGTTGAATATTTTATGAAACCGAAAATTCCGTCAAATTTTAATTTCAGTCTTCAATGCGAGACAGTTGTAACTTCCAAAAACACTGTTTTTTTAGGTGTAAGCTTTGATTGCAATTTAAGATGGACAGACCAAATCGATTCCGTATGTAAGAAACTTGGAAAAAGTCTGTATTTAATACTTACGCTAGGGAGGATGTTAAACACCTCAGCATTAATGGATGTCTACTATACATGTGTACACTCTGTCATTTCATATGGCATTACTGGGTGGGGCCAGGCTAGTGAAATCTCTAGGGTGTTTGTCTTACAAAAAAGAATCATTCGCATTATATTTAAAATACGGTCCAGATCCTCCTGTCGTGAGATATTTGTTAAACACAAAATACTTACAGTAGCATGTATATATCTTTATAATCTTTCAACATATATTTTTCAGCACAGAAATGATTATCTTAACATGACTACAGCACTCGTAATAAAAATAATATAGTTAGGCTTGTGTCATATCATACGTTTCATTCAAAATCTCCCATAACAGCAGGAATATACTGTTTTAATTTATTACCTCCGGAGATCAAAAACGTAAACTCCGTAGGGATTTTCAAAAGACGTTTGCGGAACAAGCTATCGCACTGCGGTTTTTATGACCTAGGTGAATTTGTCACATTCCACAGTGCTTCTGATAGATCTTAACAAATAATTTATTGCCATGTGTGTATCATATGGTTTTTTATGTTCTTATTGTTATTTGTATTTTACTTCCTTTTATCTATATTTTAATCTGTATACACCGACTTATCCAATGTCTACAATGAAGATCTAACTGGATCAATAAATGAATCTGAATCTATAGGGAAACCCTGTACATTTCTACGATTGTTTGACGTCGGTTTCCCTTGTTGCAGGTGCTCAGCCTGGGCGCAGACGTACTTCCCGAATACAAGTTGCAGACGCCGCGGATCCACAACTACACCATCCTGCACTACTCGCCGTTCAAAGCCGTCTGGGACTGGATCATCCTGATCCTAGTCATCTACACGGCCATCTTTACACCGTACGTCGCCGCCTTCCTACTCTCCGAGCCCGATTTCAACACCAGGAAAAACAAGAAGTACAGCGAAGATCCCATTGTCATCATTGATCTTATAGGTAATGTTCGTTTTTAACGACGAATAAATTAGTACTTTCGTCTTGCGTCTAAGTGGGCTGCCATAGTGGCTCCGATGAAAATTAATGGTGATTTTGGGAAGCCACGAGCAGCAAGCTAGTGTAACAAAATAATAAGCTGAAATAGAATATATATTACGTGCCAATTAGCAAAACATTTGTTTTTACACTTGTCATAAAAATTGTTGGTATGCATAACACATAAAAATAGCTTCTTGAAAACTACTGATGACGTATTCAATACATATAAAACTATAATTGGTAAAAATAAAATAAAATATAATACAGGGTGGCCCATAAGTCCTTTGAGCTGGAAAAAAAGGAATAAAACCAAACTAGTTACATTATGAAGAATTATTATATTTTGTTATTATCTTTATTGAATGGGAATTATGTTTTAAAAATCACATCGTCTGAATGCAATCCATTACGATCACGGCACTCATAAACGACGTCTAAAATTGTCGATGACTGCGCGGCAAGTCAACACTGTAATGCTTGCCATTTCTCTTCGGATATTTTCTTTCAGGACATCAACTGATCGCGGAGTGGTGTCGTACACTTTACTCTTGAGGTAGCCCCATAAAAAGAAGTCCATTGGGGTCAAATCTGGACTACGTGGTGGCCAGGAAATGTCTCCTCTTCGAGAAATTACTTTGCTGGGAAAAAGTTGACAGACGACGGGCATAGAAGTGTTGGAGGTGTGGGCAGTTGCTCCGTCCTGTTGAAACCAGGTCTGCGTATTATAGCCTGGAAAATTCTGCAACGCTGGTGTCAAAAACTCTTCTATCATTGCTACATACCGCTCCGAAGTAACAGTTAATGCGCGACCTCTGTCGTCCTCAAAAAAATAAGGGCCTACGATGCCATGCGCTGACATAGCAGCCCAAACTGTAACTTTAGGGCTGTGTAAGGGCTTCTGATGCTTACGCCTTGGATTTTCGGGGCTCCAATAACGGCAATTTTGTTTATTTACATGCCCGTTTAAATGGTAGTGAGCCTCGTCCGAGAACAATACATTATTGAGCGAAGAAAATCGATTCAACATTTCATTCGCAAAGTTTAGTCTCTGAATAGCGTCATTATCTTTTAATTCCTGCACTAACTGAATTTTGTAAGCGTGCAGACGTAAATCTTTCCTTAAAATCTGCTGTAAAGATGTTCTGGGTACGTTTAGTGCACTGAAACGCTTACGTGTAGACTGGGTAGGATTTTGACGTACAGACTGTGCCACAATGTTGAAGTTTTCTTCAATACGAGTTGTCCTTGGTCGACCCCACCGCTGTTTATCTAACGTCGAACCAGTCTCTTCGAACTTAGCAACCCAGTTCTTAATCGTTTGAGCTGTTGGACACTTTGTAAAATTGTGTAAATTGTGGTATTCTCGATATTTACGCCGCGCAATGGTTGCCGAATAATTATTTTGATAAAACGCGCGCACACAAAAAGCACGATCCGCTCCAGTGAAACACTCCATGGCGACTGAATTCCCAGACACTGAAGATACTGCCCCCACCTCGCCCGCGCCGCTCACGCTCACCCGTTAAATTTTATTCAAATTTGAAATTTCAAAGGACTTATGGACCACCCTGTATAAAGGTGTAGTAGGCCAGATCACACACATAGGCGGGTCGCGATAAACTCATTCAAGGAATAAAAAAGATGTTTAACTAATTCTTGCCAAAGTTTATTTTAAAAATGTTTTACAGTAAGATTCTTAGTAGTGCTTTTTAGCTTGTTATATACCCTAACATCAAGTGAGTTTTTATCTGAGATCTTTAGCCTGTGAGCGCTAGGTTGAAGTAGATTGGAATGCCTGGTGTTATATCCATGAACATCCGAGTGCATTGAGAATTTATGCTTGTTCTTATGAATCTCAACAAGGCTCTGATAGATGTACATTGAATAAATTGTAAGCATATTTAATTTTATAAAGAGTGGCCTACAGTGGTCACGATAACCAGCTCCCGCAGGAATTCTAATTGCTTTTTTTTTGTAATATAAAGACTCTATTTATATGGGTAGAATTTCCCCAGATTAATAAGCCATATTGGATGTGAGAGACGATGAGGGAGTAATAAACACTAACAAGGCATTCATTACTAAGGCAAGTTTTTAGTCTGCGTAGTAAGAATATGTTTGTGGCTAATTTGCTACATAGGGTTTCAATGTGCTTTGTCCATTTTAGTGAGCTATCAATTGTTATGCCAAGCAATTTTACACACATTTGTTTTCTGCGAGAGAAGAGTTACTAGTTACTACTAGCCTGTTAGTTTTGTCTGAGTTTAGGCATAAGCTATTCTGTTTAAACCAGTTGTTTGCCTTTTCTTCAAGCTGTTTAGATAAGCTTTGTAATATATGAAGGTTTTTGTGACTCCTTATAAGGATACAGGCTACCTAACCTGAAGTACCTGTGTTTCGGGACTAGGCAAAACTTTGCGCTCGTAGACACTTGCCATCTAATAAGAGCGTTATTCCGTGAAAATCGTAGACAAAGCTTTAACAACTGATTTTAGGCCTTAACAATTTTGAACTTGACATATTTTGTGCTTTAGATGTTAAACAAAGTCTATCTATACATCTGTCTGTCTATCTATTTTATTGTCAGCTGACACTAGGTTCTTATGTAACTCAGATTTGGAAAAAATCTAAAGTTGATAGTTTTCGACATGTTAGCGGTTTAATTTTTTTTTTGGCGGTTTTATTCTTGAAAAGGTGCAAAATTTGCCACGTACTACAATGTGAAAAAAATGAAAATTTAAAATATAGCCAACTCTCTTATATATTATTCAGACATCAATCAAAGCATTGTGGAGGGTATTGTTATTGTAATCATCTGTCTTTAATTGATAGCCACGCACGTTGCTAACAATTGACTCATATCTATTTTTATAGAATAAATGAGTATTTGAATCTACATGACACATTAATGTTAGTTTTCTTTATAAACTATGGTCCAAAAACGTTTTCTTACAAAAACTCGGGGTGTTGAAGTTTTAGGGAAAAAATGGAAATTAATTAATATTTTCATAACCGCTTCAGATATTTCACTGATATTTAGTAGGTAGTGAAAGTTAATAAAGTTGCATATTTTTCAATGCAAAAATAATTTTTAGCTTTAACAGTAGCGTGCATACGGGTATTGACTTTGACATTTTTTAAGAAAAAAATGGTACGCCAATAGTTTTTTGGCAGATAAAAATTATTTCTGAATTCCTCGTTCAATTTGAAACAAATAATCTCTCTTGAATTGTTTTATTTCATTGCGCCATTTTTGAGTAAAAAAATATAAACCGTTCTATTGTCTAACTTGCAAAATTATTATTAATCTAACTGGAAAAATTAAACACATTAGGAGTAATGAACAACAGTAACTGACAACATAAACACAACATTCAAACCAACGAAATGATTAGAAAAATTGTTGAAAATGGCCCCCTTCACTTAGTATGCATGCTTCCGCCCTCCTTCTCATGGAATTGCGCACTCGTTGAAATATCCCTGGAGTGTTTTTATTATATCACAAGCTGCAACTATTCTTTCTCTTAATTCCTCTACAGTGTTAATGGGACTTGTGTATAAAAATACACTAGTGTCTTAAGATAGCCCCACAAAGAGAAATCTAAACCAGAGTTCCCCAAACTTTTTTGTGTCGTAGACCCCTTGCCATGTTTTTCTGTGTTGGGTATACCCCCTACTTAAGTAATATTGATTTCCTGTAAATTTGTAACTGTAGTGAAGTTTAGTGTTAAAAACTTAAAGTAAAATCACATGTTAATTTATACATTTATTAATTGAATTTAAATTAAAACTACTCAAAATAAAATTTTGTTGTTTGATTAAATTCCGCTTCTTATACGTTTAAGTTATCTAAAAATAGGCAAAAAATTAACGAATTTTAGTGTGTACCTATCCTTGAATTTTCAGAATAGTTTAAAAAAAGATATGTTCTATAAAGGGGGGTTCTTTAAAAAAAATCAATGCGGGTACTTATTCCCAATGCGGGCATTTATTGGTCAGACAGCAATAAACATAAAATAAACTATAAATAAAATGACATAAGCAATAAGTCAATATTTTTAGTAAGAAGGATGAACCTGATGCTTTAATAATAAACATTTGGCGTCAATTTTGTAAGGGTTAATCCTAAATCTCCTCGGCTGATGATGTCCAGTCTGTTTCTTTTTTTCGTTAGGAGATTGGTAACAGCGCTGAACCCCCTTTCCACTAGGTATGGCGATGGAAAGGAAATTAAAAATTTCCTCGCTATATTCCATAATACGGGATAAGTAACGGGTATGTTGTTTTGCAGCCAGAATTGCTGATATCAGTTTTTAAACTGAACCTTAAGTTTTTCGTTTGTACTTAGTTCAGTCAGTTCCTCTTGTATTATGGCATTCGTTTCTCCTATGTCACCATATTTATTAATTATCCACGGTGGTATTACCATAGTCAAAATATCCTCAAACCTAGATTCAAAATCTGAATAGAGGGCATTTAAATGTTGAACGTAAGTTGAAACGTCGTCTTCCTGGCAGCCTGTCTGTGACAAATTGGGGAACTGAGAAAATTCGCCCCGTCCAATATTTTGCTTCATTAGTTTAACTCTGGCAAGAAACGCTGATGTGATGGACTTTGTTTTAATCAAATTTAAACTGTCGCCTTGTAATTGCAAATTAACCATATTAAATTTTGTAAACAAATCTGTTAAATAGGCGATCTCTGTTTTCCTCTTCATTAAATTTTCTTTTAAAATTTTATCTTTAGTATCCAGAAATTCTAAAATAGTCTCAAAAAGTGCAAAAAATCTTGTCAAACATAAGCCTTTCGACAGCGTACTTCAGTGTGAAGGAGTAATTGATGAAAGCGTTCGTCATTTCCTTCACACAACTGCGCAAATAACCGCGTATTCAACGCGTTGCTTCGGATTCGGCTTACTGCATCAATGACTAAATGAAGTGATTCATGCAATCTAACACTCAAAGTTTTAGCAACTAAAAGTTTGTCGATGGATGACGCAATGTACATGTATTGCTAACACCCCTGACACATTTTGTTTTCGTAGATTTCTTGATTCATAATAAAACGAACATATGCCAATAATAATGCTGCATTATCAGGTAAAGTTGACTCGTCCAGTTGTATAGAGAAATGGGTCGTTTGCAAATAATTACATAAGAGGCTTTCAATATCAGAACTCGTTTCATCAATACGTCTTTCAACAGAATTGTTGCTTAAGGGTATTCTTTTAATGATATCAGATGCAGGTTTGTGTAAAACAGTTTTTAAAACCTCTTCAACGGCTGGCAAAATTAACTTCTCTCCGATAGTATGCGGTTTTCCTGATTTTGCTATAAGTAGCGAGATATTGTAAGACGCCCGCAAACCATCATCATTTCTTTGTGACGTCGAAGCGAACATTCTGTCCAGTGTATGTCTCTTCTGAAATTTATCTTTGAGTGTTTGAAAGTATTCCAAATCTTTCTCTGTTTTATCAGGGTGGCATCTTCTCAGATGATCTTGCAGTTTAGATGGTTTCATAGCGTCATTGCCCAAAACTTTGTTGCATAAAAGGCACATAGTCGATTGTTTGTCCGGCAATGATGGAATGAAGCCAAATTTCAAATAATCAACACTGTACTGTCTACATTTCTTTTTAGATTCGGACATGGCATCAGTCATCTGTGGGCAAAATTAAATTATTTAAATAAGACAGAAAATCCAGCAGCTGTATATTAAAAATATTTTCCATAATTCGAACATCTTCTTACAACAATTAGCTCGAATTACGGAGATTGCACTGTAGTTATATCACCGATTGCTAAAACTTTCAAAAAGAAACTATTGAGGAGTACTCATGTAATTTTGCATGATTGAATATTTAACTACTAATAACTAAAGTCATGATTGGCGTAATTTATCTATTTTTGCTAACTACGAGTACAAAACTAAAATTTAATAAAAATAATGTACTTACTTGTCTCCAGCACTCTCAAACAAAATAACACTGACTCACTATAATTTGTGTGTTATACTATCTATATTTCTTTTTCTTTTCGCATATCATTAAGGAACACCCTGTATAGTTTTTCGACGTCAATTATGACATATTTTTTACTTTCTCAAATATTAAATCGCCTATATCTCTAAAAGTCACCTTTAGAGAAAAGTTCTGAGCACCTTTTTAGTTCGGATTCCTCTAATAAACTTAAAAATACTTTGAAAGGGGCAAACACATTTTTAGGAAATTGCTTGAAAAAATTTAGGCACAATTCTGGGTTTGAATAACCTTATGCAAGAAGTGCGAATCAGAATATTTCTCCAGGCAAATGCGAAAAGTAACGTTTTCAATACATTTTACGTTCTCTTTTCAGTGGACGTTACCTTCATAGTAGACATCCTAATCAACTTTCGAACTACGTACGTAGCTGGCAACGATGAAATAGTCTCCGATCCAGTTCGGATAGCCTACCATTACCTCAAGGGCTGGTTCCTGATAGATCTCGTGGCGGCCGTCCCTTTCGACCTTTTGTTTTTCGGCACCGACACTGACGAGGTGAGTATGAACATCGGCATGCTATATCGACACCCGTTGCAACGACAGTTGGTTCATGTCTCTTCATGTGTTCGTTTGGTCAACGTAGCTTGGGATTATAAGAAATGCTGTATTTTGAAAAGATAAGTGATGAGAGGTAGACGCAGATATGTAACGTTTCTAGGTCAAATTTTATAAAAGGTACCTACACAGATAAAAGAAACTGAAAAAAGGATGCAAGTGGATGGGTTTTTAACCAACCTATACTTGAAATTAATCAGGGACTTGATGTGAGAAATATTTACAATTTTGAAGAGTGGCCAAAGGAATTCATTGATTTTATCAAACAAGTTATTACTCGTTAACCCTTGTTATATAAAACTTTTAAGGGGATGATTCTGTGGGGCCGGGGGTGATGGATGTAATAGTTATAAGCCTTTGAACTCCAGCACAAGTTGTTAAACTTTTTTGGGACTACCTCTTTATTGCACATTTATTTGTTTATGCTACTGTATATTATTTGACAATAAACAATATTATTTTTAATAACGATAAAACAGTACTGAAACAGCACTAGTCTCGAATGGCTTATCGAAACCAGACAAGTATAAATTTTTTCAGCTGAAAGTTAGATAATTTCGGGAGTGGTATACAGGGTGTCCCAGAAGTCGACGTCAAGCCGAAACCGGGTGATAGGCAAAGTCATAACAGCTATCAGGAAAATATTTAAAAAAAAAATTGTATGTATGTGTTTTGAAAATTATAGGTCTTTGAATATAAAAAATATAGAAATTTCACACCCTACGGCAGTCTGTCAACTCCTGTAACTACAAATATTAACTTTTTTTGGATTTTATTTTTACAATGTAATGATGAATAATGCATCTTCAAACTGGTGTCTCAACCTTACTGCCAACTTTTCTCGTTCAGGAAAAATTGCCACTTATTTCCCAACCAAGTATTCCAAAGTAAAACTTTTCTCAACTTTAACTGGCTGTACTGGAAAAAAATGTACTATGACAGTTTGGCAAGTAACCTTAAAAGTTGGCGCATTTAATAACGATTCCAAAATGGTATAACACTTAGAAGATTACTAATTAAACAGCGATTATGAAAACGCACAAGGACCCTTAAGGATAACTGTTTGCACAACAGTGGGCGTCAAAATGCTGCTGATGATGATTTACCTTTACAGCAAATGCTCAAACTGTTTTCCTTCAGCCGCAATACACGCTCAACATCTTCTTAAAAAAGATCGGGTTATTAAACGAGCGAATCCACGGTTATTAACAAACTCAGTTGCTTCCAATAGTCTTTGCCGTAGCTCAGATACATTTTGAATCGGCTTGAAATACACTTTTTCTTTTACAGTTCCCCAGTAAAAAAATCTAACGGATTCAAATCTGGTGACCGGGTTGGCCACGGTATTGTACCAGACCGCCCTATCCATCTGCCTGGAAAGTTTTGATCAAGATACTCTCTCACTGAGAGTGCATAGTGCGCTGGGCAGCCATCATGCTGAAACCACATGACCCTGTAAATACTCAGTGGCACGTCCTCCAATAAATTTTCTAAATGATTTTGCAAAAAACCTAAATAAACCTCAGCAGTCAAAGTCTCTGGGCACTCAAACGGACCGATTATTTTACCATTTAAAATTCCTGTCCAATGGTTTATCTTGAAGCGATATTGAGATTTATCTTCTCTCATCAAATGTGGGTTTGCTACGTACCACTCATGTAAGTTATGCAGGTTATGTACCCATCTTTCTTAAATGTGGTCTCATCTGACCATAAATTTTTTTCAAAGAACCGTGGATCTTCCCTGTGTCTTTCTAACATTGTGCGACAAAAAGCAACTCGAGGCTCATAATCCCGGGGCAGAAGAGCTTGAACACGCTGTACGTGGTATGGATGGAGCACGTTTTTTTGCAAGATTCTATGGGCTGTACTTTTGGGCACACCTGTTTTTAGTTCTATTGCACGCACTGAAGTACTCGGGTCTTCTTCGACAGCTCCTAGCACCACGTCTTCGTAAGGAAGGAAAGATCTTCCCTCACCGTGTGATTGGTTTGGTAGTTGGCCCTCTGAGAACAGTAAGCGGTGCACATTTGTGAACACTCGATGATCTGGATGACGAGCTGCATTCGGGTACCTCTCACAGTAAAGTCTCGCTGCAGCACTAGCGTTGCATCTGCATTCCCCATAAATGAGGTGCATGTTAGCATATTCTTGTACGGTGTACACGGACATAGCGGCACTGCACAATCACACTATCAAATATAGTCTAAGGAAAGCAAATGTTGTTTTGAAGAGCAATTAAACAGTCCAAATCCAAATCACAAGCGATCAACAGTCCAGTTCACGAATCCAAAATTAGTAACAGTACGAAATCAACAAGCACGAACATGTAAAGATGCGCCGTAAACGAAGGAGTACTGATCAAAGTGTGCAATAGCAAGTAAGTGATGTGCTTCATCCATACCACATACAGCGTGTTCAACCTCTCCTGCCCCGGGATTATGAGCCCCGAGTTGCTTTTTGTTGCACAATGTTAGAAAGACACAGGGAAGATCCACGGTTCTTTAAAAAAAATGTATGATCAGATGAGACCACATTTAAGAAAGATGGGTACATAACCTGCATAACTTACATGAGTGGTACGTAGCAAATCCACATTTGATGAGAGAAGATAAATCTCAATATCGCTTCAAGATAAACCATTGGACAGGAATTTTAAATGGTAAAATAATCGGTCCGTTTGAGTTCCCAGAGACTTTGACTGCTGAAGTTTATTTGGATTTTTTGAAAAATCATGTACAAAATTTATTGGTGGACGTGCCACTGAGTATTTACAGGGACATGTGGTTTCAGCATGATGGCTGCCCAGCGCACTATGCACTCTCAGTGAGAGAGTATCTCGATCAAAACTTTCCAGGCAGATGGATAAGGCGGTCTGGTACAATACCGTGGCCAGCCCGATCACCTGATTTGAATCATTTAGATTTTTTTACTGGGGAACTGTAAAAGAAAAAGTGTATTTCAAGCCGATTCAAAATGTAGCTGAGCTACGGCAAAGACTATTGGAAGCAGCTGAGTTTGTTAATAACCGTGGATTCGCTCGTTTAATAACCCGATCTTTTTTAAGAAGATGTCGAGCGTGTATTGCGGCTGAAGGAAAACAGTTTGAGCATTTGCTGTAAAGGTAAATCATCATCAGCAGCATTTTGACGCCCACTGTTGTGCAAACAGTTATCCTTAAGGGTCCTTGTGCGTTTTCATAATCGCTGTTTAATTAGGAAATTTTGAAAAATTTTCATCAGTTTTTTTTCAAATAAAAATTGTGCATAAGTTAACGAGTAATCTTCTAAGTGTTATACCATTTTGGAATCGTTAAATGCGCCAACTTTTAAGGTTACTTGCCAAACTGTCATAGTACATTTTTTCCAGTACAGCCAGTTAAAGTTGAACAAAGTTTTACTTTGGAATACTTGGTTGGGAAATAAGTGGCAAGTTTTCCTGAACGAGAAAAGTTGGCAGTAAGGTTGAGACACCAGTTTGAAGATGCATTATTCATCATTATATTGTAAAAATCAAATCCAAAAAAAGTTAATATTTGTAGTAACAGGAGTTGACAGACTGCCGTAGGGTGTGTAATTTCTATATCTTTTTCAAAGACCTATAATTTTCAAAACACATACATAAAATTTTTTTATATATTTTTCTGACAGCTGTTATGACTTTGCCTATCACCCGGTTTCGGCTTGACGTCGACTTCTGGGACACCCTGTATATTTAATACATAAGAAAAACTTATTCCGATGTTATTCTTTAGGGCGCTGCATCTCCAAAGGACTAAAAGGCTTTCTTGGATCCCGACGGATCTGGATATTGTATGAACAAATTTTAGGTTTCAAATATATTCTATCTTGATCCTCAAGCTACATTCACCAAACCACATAGACTTTTGAAGTTGATATTCAGTGTTGACAGACATAGAGGTGTTAGATCTTGCAAAATGCATATGAATGTTGTTTTTGATGTTGCATATGTTGTGTACTCGTATACTGAATATTGATTTCTGTGTTTGAGCAAACATATTTTTCCATTGCCAGAAATCATCTATTTCATCAAACGAAGGTATCACTTTCCATTTTGAACACATTTAGATAGTTGTAGGGTGATGCTTTTAGACTCTTTATAAATGGTGATAAATATATTATGAAAATCGAATGATGATACGATCTTATCGATTTGTGAGAAGACTACCATGAACCTGTGGTAATAATGGTAGTAGATCAAGCTAACTAGCCAAAAATTGTATAGACGGATTTTAAGATGGAGTTATAGAGTTCTTAAGTTCAAAAAAAAGGCTTCCCATTCAAAAATATAAACAGTTCTGCTAAATATACTAAATGACATATAAATCCGAACACCCAGTTTAAATGGTTTTATTTTAATAAAATTTTGTATAAGTACTTAATGAAGCATAATAAGTAAATGATAAAAATTTCAAAATGATTGCACTGCTTTAAAGCCCTTTGACCTTTAATAATGTGTGGATGCACCCTGATGTGCTACGCATTCTCCAACGCGCCTAGGCATGCTTCTGATCAGGTGGTCCATGTCCTCCTGTGGTATCTCATTCCAGGCAACCACCAACTCCTCTCGAAGTGCTTCTAGAGTCTGAGGAGGACGTTGCAAATTGAGCAATCTCCTACCCATCATATCCCACACGTGCTCAATTGGGGATAAGTCGGGAGATCTTGGTGGCCATGGTGACAATGTGACATCATTATGTTGAAAGAAGTCTATTGTGACTCTTGCAACGTGTGGTCGGGCATTATCTTGTTGGAAAGTTGGATCTGCCAGGGTGTCAAGATAGGGTAAAAGATGGGGTTCTAGAACTTCGTGGATATAACGCTGCGCGTTCATGTTACCTCTGATGAAGATTAAAGGTGACCTGGAACCATAAGCTATAGCACCCCAAACCATAACTCCAACAGTGTGATGAACATGTCT